CTGAAAAAACAGTCACAGATTTTGCAGTCATCTTTCTACGCCTAACAGCAAGGTAAGATGTCATGCAACTGTCTCTTGGGAAGATCCAAAGCAATTCATCATTTCCTTTGTGAAATTACATTGTTGGGTTTTTAAATATACATCACATTTTCCATCACATGCAATTGTAAATTGGGGTACATAAATTATTTGTGCAACGTTACTTATTACTGCTATATGCATAATCGGGAAAATTCTGGAAATTTTTGCTGCTTTTCAGGGGATCATCCTTATAATCTAAGTAAACATGTAAGCTATTTTCTCACCAAAAGGAACTACTAGCTAAGTAATTTTTATGAGATTCTTTGTCTGTTTATCAAGTCTGCCTTAAATTGACTGGTACTTTGTTTGTTTTGTAACAAGATGCATCAAGATCACCTTATACAAATGTGAAACACGTTTACTTTAAGAAATTATGTGGGGCCTGAAATAGTTCATGCACTGAATCATTCTCAACAAAAGAATGCAGAAAACCAAATTCCTACTTTTACCTTTATCCAACCCCAAAACACCCATCTGACTGGGATCCGTCTTTTGGTATTAAATTATAAGAGCTTTGCCTTCCCTCAGCACTAAAACTCAGTTTACTTAAGTGTCCCCTTCTCATACATCTCTGAACAGTTTAATAAAGCAACATTACAAAATTGGTAGGACCGCTTTGTTGGTTTGCTTTGGCTGTTTTTTAAAAAAGAGTTTTAACACCTTCACATCCAAAAAACTTACAGCAATATTTGTACTTATTAACTGGAGTATACAAAATATTTGCCTTGTTGCTGAAATATCCCTGTAGCACTACAAGCAAGTAACATTTATAACTACAAATTTTGCTAAGATAAAAGAATATCAGGAATCAACTTCTTCAGAAATAAACTTTCTAACAACTAGAAGCCAAATTCTGTCTTCCCTTACATTCATGCAATTGCATTTGTTAACTGTTGGGAGGGCAGAATTTAGCCCCAAACCACATTTTTATCTAAATACGTATATTTTCCTACAGAAAAAATAAGCTGTGTCTTACCACTGCTCTTCCCTTCTAAAGGGTAAATACCGATATTTGAAATACCTAAATTGTATTTACAGCTGTACAACACTGGGGTAACTTATATAATCAGCTTAAAAATTTTTCTTAAAGAAAGAGCAAAGAAGCTTAGACATTTTCTTTGTCAAATTCACACACAAAATACATGGTAATATGACACGCAACATCATTCCACCCTCCAGACGCCACCATCTCCACACAGTCCTCCTCGTCATAAGCATTGTTGGGCTCCCCACTGCGCCATTTGTTGAAGGTCTGCATGGGTGATCGGTCAGAATAGACAAAATTTCCCTCTTTCTCTAGGTCGTTAATCCCAATGAAAACTCTGGTGAGCCCGGCTTGGTTGATGTACGAGGCAATCAGATTGTTGGCAGTCTCATCCTTGGGCATGCTCAGCGTCCCTCCTCTTCCATGGCAGTAGAGCTGGGCTTCCTTGTATCTTTTCTCTTCCTTCACCAGCAGATATATCTTATTATCTGTCTCACGCACACCAGCAACAGCTGCGGGGGAGGGCAGTGCTGAAAAGTGAGCACTCGCATTTCTATAAACCAACTTACTGTACACCCCAAAATAGCTTCACAAAGCAGATGTGTGACGGTGATGCTCTCTATGAGCTGTTACACCGGTAAAATGAGGCAACAAGAAAGGAAAATATTTATCTAAAATTAACCTACCATTTTTTATGAATTTTAGTTCCGTTGTCAGCTGAGCCACTTGGATATCCATTTCACCAATAGCCTTCCTTAGCTGGCTGCACTCACAGGGGATGCCTTTGAAATGATACAGATACACCAGAATAAAAAAGCTATCTAATTTCAATAATTATCTAAATAATTTTATGAAAAGGCCCAGGCTGGCAGCCCTGGAGAGGGTTGTCTTGCAAACACTAGACAGAAACCTAGAGCCTTCACTACCCTGCACCATCGTATGGTTCTCCTGGGTGTCTAGGCCTATCCAGAACAGCTCAGTTCACTCTCCATGAAGCCTCAGCCCTGCATGATTAGCGCTAAGCTAAACATAGACAGATATTCCCTGCAAAAAAAATACAGAAATATTTTTTAACTAAAAAATTTGTAAAAATTTCCCATTTTGAGTAAAACTATTCTCCTCAGCCTTCTCCAAGGAGCACTTTTTCCACAGCAAAAATCTGCACAGTGCATTGTTCGCCTGTTCCTCATGTGGAACATAACATAGTAGATCCAAACAGCTGATGTTCTAACCACGTAATGCACACAATTACCTGCAAAATGTAGTTCTGTACTTCTGAAAGTACAGAATTTATTGTACTTTTTCCAATAAAGTAAGACAATAGAAAGCCATCTATTAACCCAAATTGATATTGGTTTGACAAAGATAATCTGAATGAGAATACTAAAATGATAATTGTTACATCTATGAGCTCAAATCTCAAAACCAGACGAGTTTCCATTTCCATGTGTAATTATTCAAATCTGCATTTGACTACCCAATCACTCAGCCTAAGTGTCTAAGTCAGTGTAAGCACAGGGTACTTACACTGCAAACCTGTGCTTGATGACTAGGTATATGGTCCTCTGGCTCAAGAATTAGAATGACAAATGATGTTCTTATGAGGTGCACCTCTAGTGCACTCTGCCAGGAAGGGGCAAATTGTGTAAAATCTGAATCTGACACTTCTGTAAGGCTTACACTTCTTATGCCAGGCTTTCATTTTTTTTTTCTGGAAGATCTGTACTCCTAGTAATCTCCTGCTCTTATAGCAATAATCCATGGAGGGGGAGGAGCTTCCAGCTTTTGTGTTGTCTGGAAGCCAGAGCTGGATATACAGAGATGTCCCTTTGCTCTGGTGATGAATGATATGGACAGTTGCACTTCAGTTCCCGCTAGTCTTCTGCAGCGATCACTCCTCTGAGGAGCTCCAACATGTTGTTTCAACAAATAGACTACAGTCCAGCAACCACTGCAGCTTCAGTAATTTTAAGGAATTTGAAAAAATTACAGTGAAATATTACAGTGCCTATACAAATATTTAATTTTTAATTATTTCCCCCATTCTGTAAACAGACACGTATTTTTGGTGATGATGCATGCATCTTGCAAAATCCTTCACATACACAAGGTGTGTCATGGATTACCTGGGTCACCATTAGGACCTGGTGGTCCTATGTCACCATTATCTCCTTTTTCACCTGAAGACATGAAAAAGAATATAATTTTAAGGCATCTTTTTTGGTCAACAGTTTATTTAGCACTTGTTTGTTTTTTCTTTAGTAACATTCAAATGTGGAGAGCAGAAACATGCCCAAGCAAAAATAAAGATTTTTCTGTCCTAGTTGTTCCATAACAAAAGCCAGCCAAAACTATGAAACTTGAACATAAAGAATATGTACCGATATCCATTTTTTGACATTCATGAGCTTCACAAAACCAGTAAGTTCAGATGCTCTAGAGGGCAAAGGGTTGAATATGCTGTGCTAGTTCCTAAATCTAGACTCATAATCTAGATGTTTCAGTAAACACTGGTCCAAATGATTTAACCAAAGTCACATAGGAAACCTATGGGTTAGGCAAGATTAGAACTCAAGTCTTCTGGCTCTTAAAAGTATGCCAAAACACAGTGCATCTTCCCATCTGCTTCCCTTAACTGTCCACACTTGTGTGGTGGAGCACAAAGTTCTTTAGTTAGCCTTAAACCAGGATTCTCACCCTGCTTTAAGGCTAAATATACTGCTGTCAGAGGGAAAGGTAACTGGCTGAGAGATCTCAGTCATCTGGCTCACTACTAACGTGAGAAACTCCCTATTATGGTAAACTCTGAGACTTGTTAACCATTTTTCAAGTCCCTAAACATTTATCAAACATAAATGATCACAGATTTTTAATCTGAAACACAAATGGAGAAACAATTGAACTCAGCATACCTTTTGAACCAATAGGCCCAATTTTTCCATGCCGTCCTATGCTGCCTTTCTGTCCTTTGTCCCCCATTTCTCCTATACATAACAGAAAGATGAAAGACACAAGGTAGCAATGGAGTCTGATTCATTCAGATTCTAGCACGCTTGCAATATTAGTTTTCACAATGAGCAAAACCACACTATACCCCCAATATTCATTGAACTCCAGAGGTCCAGCTCACTCCTTATGAAGAACTTGGGTACAACAACCTAGACAGTGATTTAATCTTTGCAAAGCAATTAACATTAACGAGGCATGTAGGTCTAAATGAAAACAGATCTTGTCTGAGAGACACTGGAAAAGCTTATGCAAACTTCTCCCAGAATTATTCTGAAAATGAGGGAGGATTGCATTCAAACATGGGTCAGTGGATTAAAACTATTACTGAGTTGAGAAGACCTGAAGGATTCAAGCACAACTGATGGTTTCACCTAATACAGTAGCTCCACTGTAACTGAGGCCTGAATTTGGGCTTAATGGCTTATTTATACAATATAAACATTGTGGAAGCAGTCACATCCTCATCCTTTGCTCCTGCATTTAAATATTACATTAATGAAAAATGAAAATTAATGGAAATCTTGAATAGACACATGCACATGTTCATACAAAGTCTGACTCAAACCAGCAATGTTGAATGTTACTAATTTTAAAGACAGTTCTACAGAATACTTCAAAACATAGTTGCAGCAAAGGAGCTGCTAAAAAAATCATTTTCCTCAGCTGTGCTTTTACAAGTAAAACGCAACTATCTATCAATTGAAATTGTCAACAAATCTGCATGAACCAGCCACTGTCTGTGTCCATGAGGCATACCCAGAAATCTAATGCAAGGCAGCTTGATTCACTTACTTTGTCTGACTTTGACCTCTTTTGTATTAGTTGTACTTTCCTGTGAGATGTAAAGTGAATATTAGAATGGCTTCAGGGGAAACAGAATTTGCACAGGAACAGGCAGTTTCTTTGCCATCACTATCTTCACAAACCAAGCTGAAGCACTGCTACTAATAAAATGTGTGCCACAGTCCAAGTATTGATGTCATTGACCTGAGCTTCTCCAGAGCTCAAATAATAAAGCAGATAAAACACAGCACTTACTTCATATGGTTTTTCTGGATGGCATTTCTCAAACATGAAAAACAAGTATCTTAATGGTGTGAATCTGAGAGAGGAACTTTAGCCTATAATAGAAAAGTCCTATTCAATCCCATGTCTACAGAGCTCATCTACAAGTTTAGGAGATCAGCAGCTGAAATTAATAAGCACTAGTCATCTAATCGATTAAATACAGCAGGCTTACACATGACTGAAGGACTTGCCTTAAACCAAACCATTTATAGTCAATAAAATCTACAAAGTCTAAGCTTATCCGATTATTATTCCTAAATGATACTTTGGTCCTGGCATTGGTTTAGAGAGGATTCCATGATTTGTTTTATGTAAACTTTCTGAGACCTATGAAACGAGGCCCGTCATTTTGTTACACTCACTGTGTAGCGAATGTGGCAGAGTTTGCCTGATGCTACAGTCCCTATGGCCCAAAGAGCCTCAGGAAATAATACCACATCTCAGTGTACATTGGTGACGCTCTTTCCGTTGTGCAATACCTGAGCAAATCAATGCTCTGCCATCAGATTTAGGCCTTCTTGTATTATGATTTCAAGGAGAAACACAGTCTGCAGGCAGCAGAGCTGTACAGCTACATCACAAGATGTGTACCACACAGTATTAATGGAGAGTGGGTATGGAGAAACTACAGGGACAAGAAGCCAAACACCTTCTGAGGCTCCCATCCTGGAGAAACCCAAGTCCAAGACTGCTTTATCCATTTCCTCATTACCTTTAACTTACAAGTGTAATTAGTATCAAGTTTAAGAATATAAACTGACTACCACTGGACTAAGAGATGTTGTCTGTATTACTCCATGAAGCCTCAAGCAACTGTCACTTGATTATATGATTCAGGTAGAAATAATTTCCTCTGAACTGAGAGAAGCCAAATGTGTATCGCTTATTGGTCTAATTAATTACTAACAAGTCCTACTATCAATGATTTTCCTTTCTTTCCAACAACGATCAAATTCAGTCAGTACTGGACATGAACTCTATTAGGAAATTTTACCTGAAACCAAAAATATTTTTATGTTATGCTACATATTCCT